AACTACAACCACTGCACTCCCGTCTTCTCGCAGCAACTTCAAGGCACCTTCTTCTACCATGAAGTCTGCCACTTTCAGTCTTTTTGTCATGCCAGACAACTTGACTTCTTCATCCAGTCTATTTGCCTTCAGACTTTCCAAAACTCTGCCATAGTATTCATCATTTTGCAGCTCTCTCAGCCACTCTGACCCTTCTACCTCAGACACCGAGCAAACAATCTTGTCTTCTCCTGGATTGGGCACTTCGTCTACCTTCCCATCCGCTGGGAGTCCTCTTGAAAGAGCGTCGGCAACGGCATTCGCCTTGCCTTTTACGTGTTCAATGCTGAGCTTGTACTGCTGAACCTCGAGAGCCCATCTTAGCACCCTTGCGGAAACATTTTGCCTCTTGAAAAGGACCGTGAGGGGCAGATGGTCGGTCCTCACTATAACGTGCATGCCATACACGAAGAAGTGGAGCTTTCGCAAAGCCACTACAATACTCAACGCCTCCAAATCGGTTATGTGGTAATTCCGCTCTGCCTTTGAAAGCTTTTTCGACACAAAATAAATGGGATGCAGGAATCCGTACTGTCCCTCTTGGGACAGAACAGCCCCCACTCCAACTCGAGATGCGTCCGTGTACAGAATAAACGGGCGCGCACCGCTCCTTGCCGCCTCAATGTCTGGCTGTGCCAAAACAGGCGGCTGCATCAGACTGGCCTTCAGTTGCTCAAAAGCTTCTTCTTCTGACTTATGCCATCGCCATGGCGCTTTGTTATTGGTCAACTCGAACAAGGGACGTGCGATACTTGAAAAGCCTAGCACGAATTTCCGGTAATATCCGCACAAGCCCAAAAAGGTACGCATTTCCGCCAAACACGTTGGGCGTGGATAGTACTGAATTTTCTCGATTTTAGCGGGATCAGCATGAACCCCTTCAATATCCACTTCATGGCCAAGGAAGGCCACTTTCCTCCCCAACAGCATACATTTCTGCGGCTTTAGCTTCAAATTTGCCCGTTTCATAGCCTCTAGAACGGCCCTCAGCACCTTCATATGCTGCTTCTTGGTTTCCGTGGCGATCAGCACGTCGTCAATGTACACGAAAACGTCGTTGCCTATCATGTTCCCTAAGACTGAGTCCATGAGTCTCTGAAACCTTGCTGGGGATGTGCACAGGCCAAAGGGTAGGACTCTAAACTGGAACAAGCCCTCGGACGTTACGAACGTTTTCACGCGCGGTTTTGCCGCGCGACTTTCACGCGCGTTTTTATCGCGCGATTTTGACGCCTGCCTAGGAATGAAAGCAGGACAAATGATGTATAGGCGGAGACAGTCGATTGCAGGATGCACGCAGTCGAAGAAGCCGAGCAGCGGTGTTCTCCTATTGTGCCCGTCATTATTTATAGGCCTCTGCAGGTCAAGAGTTCGCCTATGGATCAGAGATCTGGCGGGAAAAATACGTTCAATGAGGGGCAATAGTTATCGACGTCCGTTCTCGCTGATTGTTTTTTCTAACAAATAGGACGGAACATTACAAAAATAATCCTGACACATAGCGCAAGCTGTTCCAATGCATTAATTGAATCAGAATGATGATTGTATTGTCCAAATAACCGCTTTATCCAGAACCAGCATTGATGATGTGACCATTTGGTGGAGAAATCTGATGTCATCTGATGACGGTTATGCCAGATCCTTGAAGCCATATTCTATAAATCTTAACGATTGACAAACTTCAAAAACTGCACCAGACTATGGAACATAAGATAAGGATTATAAGAGTCTTTTGATATGATTTTATGCCGCCCCTCTCTCGAAGACAGAAAAATAGAGCGGAAAGGTGTCCAGAGGACTACAAAAATAATATATATGTTATGTTTTGGGTAAAAATTTTTCTCTCATCGAGCTGCATCCGAAACTGCCACATTTGCCCCGTTTCAAAATACTTTCCAAAGATTTTGTAGTGATTTCAGCCAATCTGTTGCAAAATCCCATGCGACCGTTCCTTGTCGACACCAAAGTCGTGTCGACAAGGAATGTTCAACTTAGACCTCACACTTCTACGAAATACCACCCTTTCTTATCTATAGATCCTCCTAAAGACCTCGCCTTCCTATCACGATCTCCTTATGACCCTCTTACAAGATTCAACTTGACCTCTTCCCCCCACCCTTCCTATCAACCAATTCCTACCCTTTCATTTTCTCACGTCGAACTTCCGATCCTGCATTTCATTCATACTTACAGCTTGGTAAATCAGCTTTAATACTCACCATCACACCTGCCTACTCAACCTTTCACATATCCATTAGTATATCATGATACTATGAAACAGTCTTTTCTTACTCCTGATTCAGAACGATATGAGCAAACTCCGTCTGCAAGATACGAACGACAAACGGAATCTTCTTGAAAATCCATCACAAATCAATAACAACAAAAATCACAGATCAATTGTGTATCATTTCTTCGATGTCGCCGAGGATCTCGCCACGCATAAGCACAGGATTCCAGTTAGCATTGGCCATTTGTTATGATACATACTTAGTAGAGGCATTCTTAGAAGCTGTTCCGAAACAGCATTTCAAACGTGAAAAATGATTATCTGAGAGGGCATATGAGATGCTTTTTTCTGATGTGCTGACACTACAGGCGAACGCATTGGAAATTTGATGTGGAGAATGGTTCCTTCAGCTCACACTTCGTCGGGTGTGGTACGTTAGGAACGAAATGGTCACGTTGCGGTGAGAGGGGCGTCGCGCGCGAAGGAATGTAGCAGGATGCAGCAGTGGGTAAGAAACACAAGAACAAAAGCACTAATAGTAGAATTATGCAAAAAATAATGATCGCATATCGATTGCGCTGTATGAAGAACGCTAGAGCTGTAATAATTGAGAATGAATGGTCCGCGACAGGTGCGTGCGGCGAATCGATTACCCAAAATCGTTCCTAACGCCCGTTTCCCCACTTCGTCAGTTGGGAAAACTTATCTTTCAAAAATTACCTGATAGATATTGACAATGGACCCTTCGAAGAAAAATTTTAATATAATAAACATGGAATGATGCTTCACACTGGATTACTACTACAGATTATTGTAAATGAGCAAGCTACGCCTTCGTTCACCTCCACTGGATCAGTTGCAGTATCATTTTTTTCATTTTAGGTTCTACACCACACTAGTAAACAAGATCAGCAAGAAGGAAAAGTAGCGAAGAAATATTGCATCTATTGCCCCAAAAACAGTCTCGATTTATCGCAAAGCCTCTAGCGACTGGATCAGGCTCCCAAAAAGTTCTTAGGACGGAATCAAGAATTTGAATTTTCGAATAAAATTTCGAACACATCATTGGCACAACATTGGAATCGTAATAATTTTGTTGGATGGCTTGATAGATAGACATCGATAGCCACGATTCAACCAAAAAAGGAAACTGTAAGAAAATGGAACTAATGGAACTAACGCATGGATAGCCTTGCCAGCGATTGCAGTCAAGGAAAGTACTGTGACAACAGGCTAGTGTTGACCTGAACATCAGAAATCAGGAGTGGCACTTGCACCAATAGAAGTTCAACGAAAATGTTGGCATGAGAACTACAGGTCAGGAAATGCCAGCCAGGAGGTCGCGTTGGAACGGTGCAGTTGGAATGTCTCCTTTTCAGATTAACTCGATTCTTCTCAAGCCATCATCTTGTCTACAACATTAACTTGCTATCTACACCATACAGTCAACACAGATATCGTCTTGGGTGGGGAGTCTCTACCATGGTTTGAAAACAAACACTACTATTCTCTCAGTAGGAGAATCACACGCTTCGCAATGCCGGCTTCCAACACTTTCGTTTGGTCAAGAAATGAGGTTCCCAATGAATTTCTTCTTCATCTAACCCTGTCAAATCCAATGAGCCTTTAAAGGAACCTCATAACCTGCGTTCTCCTATCAGTATGGTTCTATTTTAGAGGGAGAGTGCATGAGAACCTTGATAGCGCTTCGTTATGAATTCATGCCATGATTGTCACAGTTCTTGAAAGGGAGGGCTCATGAGTTTTGACAATGACTTAAACTGCTTATGAGCATCAAAATCAAAAGGGAAGCATTCTTGCCTTCTCTATTCTCATTCAATATCAAAAATTTCCTTTGGAGCTTTCTCGTTATCGCTCAGTTTTCGCGGTTTTTATGACGGATTCCTGAACTCGTTTCTCTAAAAGGTACATAAGTTTGAGGTTGATCTTAACAACTACTTTTACTGGGAATCTCAAGAGCTGAACCCAGACCTCACGTAGGCATTTGTTTTGTGGAGCCAGCTTTCGAAACGTGACCTTATTGGAACTGAGGAACCTCGTCGAAAACGGGCAAGACCTCTTTTGAGGGGAAACGGGCTATCTATGCGATCATTATTATGGGCATAATTCTATTGTTAGTTCATTTGTTCCTGCATTTCTTATCTGCTACTGCATTCTGCCATACTCCTTCGCGCGCGACCTTCCTTTCGCCGCGACGCGAAAATTTCGACCCTACTGCACAACACCCTCTTTTGTGGCTTCAAGATTATAGCTTAACAACACAAAAGGATAATGACAGTCACTTTGTGGATCAAATTTTTAGCTTCCTTTGACAAATTGGCAAATAGCCAAACAGTTGAATTGTTATTTGGTGTGTGATGATGGATGGGAAATGGAACTAGGTTTATCTGTTAAAAAGGGAAGCAAAACTTTTCTTGAATTTTGTGTACATGTTGTATTCGAGGCACCACTCTGATTGGTGCTTGTTAGTAATCGACCAACCACAGGCTACCATAACATGAGCAGTGTTTCTCTACTGCGATTGCGGTAGTTACTGAAGACGATTTCAAAGTGAATGGTTGTCAAATAGTTGTATCCTAGTTCTCAAACGCGCCAGCATTTCCCGTCGGAACAGTAACTTCTTTCTATTTTTTCAGGAAATCATCCCGATCGATTGCTTTCAGATGCACGTGTCGTCGATTTTCGTTTTCACCTTGGTCCTCAATGTTTACTGTATTCAAGTCAGAATTAAAGACCAGTATTCTAACGATAAAAGTACAAGTTCACGTCCAGCTGTTGTGATCCGTACTGGCACAGTCACTGTCAACAATCCGAAATTACCTTCAACCATCTCAGGTACTAATCGGACGGTTATTCTCGATTTTATGACCGGATGGAATATACTTCATGCTAAAAAAGCAACACCTTCATTGGGAAAAGTTCAAAGCTTTCTAAATTTTGACTTTTCCTATACTTTCCAAGTATAGGAACTTAGAAAGTATAGGATAAAAGTCAAAACTTAGAAATTCCTAGAAGGTTAGACTGCCAATTTGAGCCGAATAAAATAAATATTTGAAATACTGAGTGCCCATATGAAACTACCACAGTTACCAGTTCTCCTAGAATCAGGTTAGGGCTTCAAAGCTATTTTCCCTCATCAACGCAGCTGTTCTTCTAACGAAGAATACGTAGAAATGGGAAATGTTGCTGTTGGAACGAAGATATCACGATTAATTTTCTTTTTCAGCTCGAACACTTCCAGCGGAAAAGCAGTCGAACCTTTTGAGAGTGTTGATCATCGGAAGTAAACAAGATGTCCTCACTACAACAATTCTGAGGAAAATCGCAAGCATTCTCGGTGATGCCCGCCACCGAGTGGTGAGTGGAACATGTTCATGTTACCAAAGCCAGAGGAAGAAAATTAGGCTATCAGCAGAAGGACTCCCAGGCGGGTAGCCAATGTGTTCATTATTCTGGCGCATAGCGTTCCACTTTGTCCACTTCAACCAAATGATGGTATTCTATCTCACTGAGTCAGTGTATCTACTTTGTATTCTACAGTGAATAGTCGTTTAAACCAGTACTGCAGTCTCTGTGTTCCCAGGGAGACGGGCGTTAGGAACGATTTTGGGTAATCGATTTGCAGCACGCGACTGTCGCGGACCACTCATTCGCCGTTATTGCAGCTNCATTTCGTTCCTAACACACCACACCCGTGTTCCCATTATCGATGAATGAGGTTCACCATTTTGAGAATTCCATTTCATCCCTCAGTAAGGGAGAATATTAATCAGAGCAGATCGCAGACAATCTATGTTTTAGAACTACCCCACAGAAAACGATACTGAATCCACAAAGATGAGGCTCAAGCTGCGACATCGGAACCCAAAAATTCCAAATGTAGGAAACCGAAACCGGAAACCGAACCTTGACTCAATGCCGAATGACCTAACCGAAGGGAGACCAACGTACCCTCAACCGACCACATTTTATAATATAACCCCATCAAAAGTCTAGAAAAACTTTATCACTTTTGTGAGAGAATTTCCACAATCGCTTAACCCTACTTCTAGACTCTATTGTCGCCGTTCACCGGTTCATCAGCAACAGCCCCGTCCGGACAGTATACCTCAAAGGTAATGGACTATCGTTAAGCAACTCAAAAAGCATGCGCTTAAAAATTTCATTGATAAATCCACTCACCAATCCTTCCAGAATATCGACTATGTGGTGAAAAGTGAAGCTATCGTTAATGCATGGGACCAGTTCAGTGTGCTGGAACGTATACGAACCATAAGAAGGACATCTCACGACATGATGACTTTTTGTGAAAGTAAGACTAATAATTACCAAGTATTTCTGTACAAAAAAATTTCAGTATTGTTTGATTGTAACTTGGGAAAGTAAGGCAGAGGTGGTGTAGTGGCAAGTGGCGCACTATCCTCACGCATGGTCACGGGTTCGAGTCTCAGCCCGATATCCACCCAAGCCAACTGAACCTCCATGCCTCCGGGGACGCTTAATCGTTACCAGACGCATCCGCGAGGATAGAAGCACTGACTTCAACATCGGCTGGCCACCGCAAGTTATTGTATAGGCCACATACCCATTCATTACGCCACTAAAATTTTGAATGGAAGCCGAATGCGTAGACGCATCCCTTTGACGGGATCGATTTATGCCCCAGGACTTCATCATTTATCCTAATTTGGTAAACTAGAAATGCTTGATATCCACAAGCACATTCAAAAGCTCAATCCTCGAATGTGTAATTAAAAAAGGAGCAGTGGACTCGACGTCACACGCTCACATGAATGCAGTCAAGAGGTGCCATTGCGGGTGGCATCCGAATTGGGGTGCCTACGGAAGAAGCACAGAGTGCGATAGCCCCACTACCTGGTCTTTCTGTTTAGACTCGTTGCTGCGTTTTCTGCCCCATACCCACAAATGTCCGTTGCGCGCGTCCGCTGCAGGTCGTAGGTAAGTAGGTCACCCCGTCCCCTTCGCGCGCGGCGCACCCACTGAGGTCTCGCGGTGACATTGTAGGACCACCAAGTGTTAGTGGATCAAATGATTTGCATTTGTCCCTTCTCTTTGGGCTGACTGCCATGGACCAAGAGCGAATCGTATGCTTCACTGACAACTGCGACGTCTGTCAAGTATCGCGGGCGGGCCTGACACATGCGACGGCTGCGGCGTGACCTAGTTTTGAGGGACGCGCACAACGATGCGCACCCGTCCCATACCCGCCCATATCATTCTGTTCCCTAGATAATCGTAAATACAGTTCCCCGTAAAGAGAGTAAGCATTACAGAAGTTTTTGGTCGTATGGATGTGATCGATTGGATGCGAAATGAGAAATTCGACATTGCAATCACAAGTGGCGCCACGTGCTTTCAACCACTACTCCGTATGGCCGGCATAAGGAAGTATGCCATTTCAAACATGTGACTTATTTCTTTCAGCAACTTTTGGTATAAGGATGAAGCCTTTGCGGGTTGATCAATCCCGTCGGAGAAATGCGCCCCGCATTCAACTTCCATTCAGAACCGTAGTGGTGTATTCAATACGTATGTGGTCTATACAATGACTTGCGGTGGCCAGCGGTGATGTAAGTCAGGACTTTTATCCTCTCAAATGGGGCTGGTGCAAATTGACCGACCCCGGAGGGATGGAAGGCTCAGTTGAAATATCGCAGAGCCAAGTCACAACTACCGATTGGACGTCGTGGGGGCAGTACTTCGCCCCGTTATCCCAAAAACGGCAGTGGTTCCGTGAAGGCTACCCATATCCTTCCACTGGGAATTCGAACCTTTCCCTATATAGCGCACGACTGCGCGCAATCCGGTGCGACGAGCGCTGCGCGATTTTCGGGTGGAAGTACCCACATCCCATGTCGTGCACACTTTAGATTAGATCTGCCTTAATCTATTCCCGCAGCACTTTTTCTGCATATATAACTTTCCCTACGATTCTTTTGACATTGTTTAGTGATACCTAGTTCAGATCGATCATCCTCACCACAAGTGAACCTGCTCCGTGGATAGTGAAATCCATGGGTATCCCGTATACTGGTAACCTTTTTGAGTTTTACAAGGTTCCGTTACGGCTTCGAAACACAATATTTTCAGAAAGCCCAACCGTCAATGCACTGCCTTATTTTCGACGGTACATATTAAATTCATTTCTGGAAGTAGTCTTATAGAATCTCCAAAAAATTTCTAGGGCCAAAACGGTGCTGTCGAGTTACATTGAAGAAATGCTTCTTGATTATGATTTGATCCATCCACTGGATCACATGGGACAACGTATGGTTGGAGAGCGTTTTACTCCATTCCAGGTATCCCACAGTTCTTCATGAAACTTCTTCTGACATAATGGTCCTTCCTCCATTGAGCTTAGTTACAACTATAAGAGGTATATGTGGATATACTGGTTGGATGTAGTAACGACTAGTTGTAGGGCCCCTTGCCCTCAAACCCTCAAATTCCATATTTACTCCGAAAACGCAGTTTCTGGTAGAGCAGAACAACTGTCTACTGGGGGGGGGGGGGGGGGGGGNTTGGTGCGATTCGGACTACACGCGACAAATTGTGCGGCGAAATTGTTGGCGATTTAAACGACTCTGGCGCCTATTATTGGGGCACAAACTTGAAGTAGAGTAGATTAGTAGGATCAACTGACCATACCCAACTATTCTACTTCGAGTTTGTGCCCCAATAATAGGCACCAGAGTCGTTTGGATCGTCACGAATTTCGCCGCGCAATTTGCCGCGCGCGGTCAGAATCGCACGAGTGTACCCATTCCCGAGTGACCCACCGAAAATGAGAGCGTAGGGGTGTCGCAGCCTCCGTTCAAAAGCTTACCTTAGCCACTGCTTCCAAACTGTCACTTTTTCAGGATGCTGTCGCACAAACTTCATTTCTCCTAGTCAATGGTGATGAACTCTTGGATTTCCCTCGACCACTTACACTGCAATGGGTCTATATTGGTGGACTGCATGTGAAACAACCTTCGAAACTTAGCCAGGTTCGATTGTATTGAATAATACCTTCAATAACTTTGTTTACTTCGTTTTTTGAATGGCTCGTACTTATCGAAAGATATTTAACCATTCCACCATATACACCTATTTGAAGCTCTATTTTTTAGCAAAAAAAAAATTAAACACTACCCCATGCTGGATCACGGCTCCTTCTGAAGTTCTAGTCACTAGATTGTCAAACAAATTGTGCTGTTTTTTAACAGGTTTTGACAGCATAATTCAATCTCTGTCTATTTTTTGAGCTATACTTTCTCCTTCTAAGCTCAAGGTTTTAACATTAGTGAGAGATCACCTTTTGCGATTCTTTTACCTGCAAGACCAGACCGTAGAATCCAAATGACTACCCGGTAGGGAAAGCCCGACGGTTAGTCATTTGGGTTTTGCCGCATAAAAAAAAACGCAAGCTCCGCCCCATAAAACGGGACTTCTGCAGCACAGCTCAACACGAGGGTGTCTGAAGAACTCTCCAAGAAATGATCTTCCAGCAGAAGTCAAAAGATGAACTGACCTATTTCGTTCGTTCATGTTTTTACAACGACGATTCCAGCAATGGTCTACCGTACTATCAATGAGAGCCCGAAATGTGCTTGTAGTATTTGGCGGTGCTTCACTAGGATGTGGCCAGGGAACGACTGTTCTCTTACGTGAGTATACACTCAAATTCAGGAAGATCAGAGGACCCTTGGCATATCAGGATTTTTCCCTCTTCTCCCCAAAAAGGGTGGTTTTCCGTGGAAATGGGAGTATGTACAGGCGCACATTAATATAAGCTCAAATATACCCAAAACTGTCTAAATATCAAAAGCTTAAAGGCTTGGCTTAGGCCGGGCACCACCCAACCTCGCTCTGTTGGCACTCCGACATATTGCGTCGCTAGCCGCTCAGGTTTGCCAGGGAGCGTGCTACCAACGGTTATTTTCCTTTTTGTTGGTCGTTTTCACAAAATATATTCGAACGGGAGGCATTAAAAGGCTGACCTTCAGAAAAGTTCCTTTCCAGAGGCGTTTCTGGAAATCCCCGACACCACTTTCATATGGCGCAATGCCTCTGGACCAGCTCTGAATCAATCGAACGTTGTTTTCGTGAGCCAAGTATCGGAGAGTGACCTTCTGGGTGAGTTCTTTTCAAGGGACACTAACTCCTAACATAATTCTTCTCAATCTACAGCTGATCCCCGAGTCACAGCTATTATCACAGATGGAAGGACCGATTCACTATATGACCTCGTTACTGGAGGAAAACCAGTGGGTAATATGAATTGTAACTTATATACATGGAACTCACGATTAACTTCAGGCTTGAAACTTTTAAATAAATCATAACGTCAAATTAGAAAAGCTGAAACAGATGCAAAGTCATCAGCTGAGAAGCAAAGGTACTTTACCATTTTCCGTGTCACCACGGGCGGGGAAAGGTTGTTGAAGCCGATGAGCCGAGTCTAACCTCTGTCCAGATCCTCATTACCACCTACTTCTTCTTTAATTTGACATATGAAGGATAATTTAGAGCTGCACCGATCACTGATTTAGCATATTTAATTCTGCTCACAAAAACCAGTTTAGCCATAAACAACCACGGAAAGTCTCTCGAGCTTGTTTGCACAAGGTTAGAATGCTGAAGGAAAAGAAATCCTTCTCAATACTAGTGTTAGAAATAAAAAATAGTAGTA